GGAGGTGAACAGGGATACCTGGCTCAAATGCACATTCCAGTTCACTCCATGCCATGCTTCTAGATCAACTATGGGGGTGACATCCCCAAGAAGTATTATGTTCGAGACCAGCTGAAACAGCAGTATGAACACAGCGTGCAGATTTCCCGTGGCTCCTCCCACCAAGTGGAGTATGAGATCCTCTTTCCTGGCTGTGTTCTCAGGTAGGGGCCTGCGCCCTTCCAGGTGACCTAAGCTTTCATCTATAGGTCCTGATGGGTGGGCTGGGGTAGGACAAGCCCTGGTTCCAGTAACCCAGGAGGGTACACGCAGAAAGAATTATGTCTAAGCTGGTGATGTCCCCTGCAGGTGGCAGTTTATGTCAGATGGAGCAGATGTTGGTTTTGGGATTTTCCTGAAGACCAAGATGGGGGAGAGGCAGCGGGCAGGGGAGATGACAGAGGTACTGCCCAACCAGAGGTACAACTCCCATCTGGTCCCTGAAGATGGGACCCTCACCTGCAGTGATCCTGGCATCTGTAAGTATCTATGCCTCGGTAATGCCTTGAAGCCCCATGTCCAGATTTCTGCCTGTGAGGTTCCTCTTCCTCCATGAATTTTTGGTTCTCAGAGTGTTAGAACTAGAAGTGGGATGCCATCAGTTCAACTTTCTCCTTGCATAGGTGAAGAAACCTAGGCTTGGAGAGGTGAAATGACTTGTTTATGGTGACCCAGCTGGTTAGCAGCAGCGTGGGACTTTAACCTCATACTCCCAGGTATGGGTGAGTCACAGTCCTAGGCCATCACAGGGGTTCAACATTTCTCATTTCTGGTCCAGGTCTAACTGGGTCTGTGACTGGCCAGATATTTCTTGGGGATGCTCCTACCCAGAGATCACAGAGCCAGAGCTGGCTGGGTGAGCATGGGATTGCAAGGTAAGCGGAGTGCTCAAAAGTCCACCCTTCACCTGAGTTTCACTTATCTCCAGGCTGACCAAGGAATGAACACAGATTATGAACAGGCAGTTTACACAAGAATATAAGAATGGGGCCAGGCGCAGTGGCTCACGCCTGAATTCCAGCACTTGGGGAGGCCGAGGCAGGTGCATCACAAGGTCAGGAGATGGAGATCATCCTGGCTAACACAGTGAAACCTGGTCTCTACTAAAGATACAAAAAATTAGCCGGGCATGGTGGCACATGCCTGTAGTCCCCGCTACTTGGGAGGCTGAGGCAAGAGAATCGCTTGGACCTGAGAGGTGGAGGTTGTAGTGAACCCAGAGCATGCCACCGCACTCCAAAAAAAAAAAAAAGAATGGCAAACAGACATTGGAAAAGGTGCTTAACCTCTCTTAACTTTGTAATATCCATTAAAATTCCCCTTGACTCAGCAATTCTACTTCTGAAAATTTATCCTACAGAAATACACAAAGATATAGGAACAAGGATGTTTCCAGCAGCCTGGGAAACTGGCGGTAAACCCTATGACCATAATAAGGTCTGTTAAGTAAATTACAGTCCATCTATACAATGTTAAAGAGAATAAACTGACATGTAAGATGTCTGAGACGTTAAGCAAGCATGAAACGCAGCATGTATGGTACGTACTCACTTTGGTTAAAGAAGTGTATACACAGAAAAGAATTCTGGGGAATCTATGCTAACTCTAAAAGTGGTTATCTATTGGGTGACAGGATGTTTATGGAGGGCTTTCATTTGTACAGTATTTCTGCAAATATATTTTATGATGACTATGTATTAATTTTACATTAATGAGCAGAAAAGCCATACCTATACCCTCCTCAACATCCACAATCAAACCTCCAGTTCCTTTTCGTCAGAGCCAATGGAAAATCAATGACAGCAAAGGCTTTATCATCAGAGCTGAGCTGGACTTGACTAAAGACTAGCTGCATGGCCTTAGGCAAATGACAAAACCTAAGCTTCAGTTTCCTGACTGCTACACTGGGGTATCTCATAGGGATACTGGATGATTCAATGTGATAAGTTCTATGAGGTGCTTAGCATAATGCCTGGCATGGAGCAAGCACTCCATGCACTGTAGTCACCACTATTATTAGGACAAGGCATGTGAGAGAAGGGTCATCCTGGAGACAATGCTGGGAGATGGGAGAAACCCTGTGCCCCATTTCTACGGCAGTACCAGCACCACCAGAAGATCTGAACTAGCCCCACAGATGTCTCGGCCTCTGTGCTTGAGATTTTGCCTCCTTCCTCACATCCCAGGCATCCTTCATCTCCACCACCCACTCCTCACAGATGCTCTGTGGTACAACATAGCTCCCTGGGGAGGGGGGAGTATTCTTATTAATGAGCAGCTGGATCCTGGGAGAGAAGGTGTATACTGTGCGCCTCAGCAAGACCAAGGCTTAGCACAGCCCAGACAATGTCACCCACAGAAGAGAAAGCACTTCATACATATAAGCTTGGATTTTTTTTGTCTGTTTCTTTGTTTTAGTAGAGATGAGGTATCGCTTGTTGCCCAGGCTGGAGTCTCGAACTCCTGGGCTCAAGCAACCCTCCCACCTTGGCCTCCCAAAGTGCTGAGATTACCAGCTTGAGTCACCATGCCCAGCCTTGAATTTTTTTTGTAATGGATGGGGTATAGACAAGGGATGTTATTTCTCCTATAAAGTAGCTTGTGTAAACATCAAGACAGAACATACAAGAGATTCCTAGAGTTCTGATTCAGAACCTTTTGGGCATTGACTGTCCTTGATGTGACAGAGTGGAATCCCAGACCAGGGAAGTAATTTACTCAAGGTCACAAAGCCAGTAGGAGAGCCCCAAACCTTTTTCTAGCATCCACCCATTACCATTCTATCTCCTCTTTAGTATCTGAAGAACACTGCGCAAGAAGGGAACATGAGCCTTTTAACATAATCTGGCTTCAGCTTACAAACCCCCAAATTTATTTTAGCTCCTTTTGGATACATTCCCATACAGAACCATTACCTGCCTGCAGGGCCTTGTCTGGGATCTGCTCCTTGCCCCTTCCCAAGAAGAGCAGAGTCAGGCCACAGGAACCATTCCCCCTTCCCAGGTATAAAGACAATGAAGCAGGAACCAGCTGTTACCTGGGGCCACAGCTAAGGTTAGATGTGAACCCAGAGAACCCAGTGTTAGCTTGCAAGCTCACCTGCAGGAGGGCAATGACCTTGGAGAACCAGGAGACCCCTGGAAAGTGGAACAGTCATGCAGTGGAGAAATTAAAACTGTGCCAGCCTTCAATGGCAAGAGTACATTAACCTTCCCCAGGCTTCTCTGGTCCTTATCCCAGGAAACTAAATTATCAGGGAGGAGAACAAAAGTTTGAATTGATTTCACTTTTGTGTTTTCACCTAGTATTTACCAAGGGCCTACTGAGTATAGAATACGCAACCATGAATAAAAAGATTCCGAAGGGAAGACCTGGACTTTGTCCACTAGAAGTGCACAATGTGGTCAGAAGACTGGAAACACTGTAGGAAGGGTTAGCAGTGCTAGTGAAAAGAGCCCAGCCAGGCACCAGGAGACCTGGTTTCGGAGGCCAGCTTTGCCAATAACTCTCCTAGTGTTTTCAGCAAGTGTCTCTATTAGGTTTGGTTTTCCTTCTCCTTAAAATGACAGAAGAGATTAACGGGTATGGTGGCTCATGCCTATAATGCCATCATTTTGGGAGGTCAAGGCACGTGGATCACTTGAGGTCAGGAGTTCGAGACCAGCCTGGCAAACATGGCAAAACCCTGTCTCTACTAAAAAAGACAAAAATAAGCCAGGTGTGGTAGCACATGTGATGATCCCAGCTACTTGGCATGAGAACTGCTTGAAGCCGGGAGGTGGAGGTTACAGTAAGCCAAAATTACACCACTGCACTCCAGCCTGGGCGACAGAGAGAGACTCTTAATCTGGGGTTCCCCAGAGCATTGGTGCTAAATCCTAAAGACCCAAACACTTCCTCTTTACAACAAATAGTGTCTAAAATGTCCCCTTTACTATTCTAAAGTGAAATTCAAAATACAGAAATTCTGATTATAATCCGAAAATATAACCCATCCTACCTACACACATAATTTAAAAAACATAATCTCCTACTGTAATAGAAAAGAGATATAAGAGGGAACTAATTTAGAATATATATTTTTTCAATACATAAATGAGGGTAAGGTTGTACCTTTCCCATTGGGAACCACAGCCCCAGAGGGACTACAGTGGGCTCCGGGAAATCTAAAATTGTGTGCTTTCCTCAGATTCTCCAGGGGGTCAGTTACCCAACTAAAGTTAAGGAGCCTTAGCCTGGAGGGTCTCTAGGGGCTCTGTGAGCCCATGATTAGTGTCAACATGAACCCTACAGACTCTGGAGCTGCAGTGGCTTCACTTCCCTTGGGCCTGTGCCTCTTCATCAACCCCTTTCTTGTTTCTGAGGCCAAGTATCTTGCCAGGCAGCGCCATTATCGACCTAGTACTTGGTCCAAAGAATGCAAAGACCTCTGCTCCAGCATGGATGATCCTGGTTGCTAAGGCTCTATTATCCAGTACAGAGATGAAGCTTCACTCTTGCCAGAGGAACTATGAGCCCTGAAAGAACTCTAGTACAGAGGAAAAACAGATGACGAACACTTTATACCATGAGGAAAGAGTGGGTGGTGTGTCTACCTTTGGTCTAAACTATGCATTTTGTCCAGAGTCAGAAAAAGGTTAAGTCTTAGGATTAAATACAGGATATTTTTTAATTGCTGGGAACAGTGAGAGAAGATCAGGGTAGGGACAGGGCAGAGCCAGTGTTTTTGTTTTCACACTCAGTTCTCCTGAACGGGTGTTTGGCTGAAATGGAACAACTTCTCAAAGAAACAGGGTTAGATTAAAAGCAGCTTGTTCCTCTGCCAAAGTATGAAAGCTTTCTCTGCCAAGTGCATGACCACTTTCTCTTTCCAGAGAAAACCACTGCTAAGGTCTATTATTCTATCAGATATCTTCCATCTAGAAGCATTATGTTTCCGTAATGAACAGGGCATACAGTGTTCGCTTAGTCAGCAAATGTACTAAAATTGAAACAATACAGAGATTAGCATGGCCCCTTGTGTGAGGATGACAATCAGATTATCTTAAATAGAAAACAGGACATATACACACACATATATTAATAGGAATTGTCTGCCATTCACTGTATGTTTGAAGGAATTTTGAAACAACGAAACTCATCACAAGATTTGAGTAAACTTTCCCTTTAGGACAAGCACCAGAGTGGTATCATCAGAGAATCTGGGAGTCAAAACAGATTAAGCAGTAAAGCCAAAAGTATTTTTACATATGTATTTACAAAAATGTTACAAACTGTTTAAAACTGTACTGCAGCTTGCTTTTTTGGCCTCAGGATATACTGTGGACAGTTTCCTGTCACTTCTATGGAGCTAACCTTCTTCTTAAAAAATATATCACTATTCTATCATACGGATTACAGTATAAAATTGTTGAAGCAATTCTCCTTTGATGAACATTTGAGTTTTCCCAATCTCTTATTATCATAAATAGGGATGCAATGAGCATCTTTGTCCATTTATCTTTTTGCAGGATAAATTCCTGGTTCAGAAAGTTTGCACATTTTACCTTTTGTCAGAAACTAAACAGAGACAGGCTTTCCAGGGTCTAAGTCAGGCAGAACAAAGGCAGCAATGTGGACCAGACGGAAACTCCAGCTCTGTCATTTCCTCACAGTGTGGCACAGGAGTCTCACCACCTCCTTTTTATCAGACATAAAACAGGACTAACGCTGAACTCATAGATTTGGGGGGGAAGAGTGAGATAACATATAGTTTACCAACCCAGTGCTGTGACACATAGCTGTTATTATTATTACAACTGGTACTGCTGCTGCTAATTCTCCTCCCTCCTTTCAAAGCCCAGTTCAAGTTCTAACTCCTCTAAAAAGCATTTCACATGATTTCAGTCTACCAGGCCCTCTTCTTCCAAGCTGTACAGATGAGATGGTCTCTGTCACTCATCTGACACTTGGCATGTTCTGTTTTTTCTCTCCATGAATGTCTTAACCCAGCTAGATTAAGTTTCAGAAGGTCAAGGATCATTACCTACGCCACCTTCATCCCCATGACCTGGCAAACTGCCTTGCTCGGTCAATAAACATCAACAAAAATCGCTGTCCCCAAGCCCTTTGTCAGAACTGCCTGAATGTCTGGTTTCTGCCTCCCCTTAGATGTCCTGCGGTTTGACAACACCTACAGCTTCATTCATGCCAAGAAGGTCAGTTTCACTGTGGAGGTCCTGCTTCCAGACAAAGCCTCAGAAGAGAAGATGAAACAGCTGGGGACAGGCTCCCCAAAATAACGCCTTCTCCTACAGCAGGCCTGGCCCCCTCAAGTGTCTCCCTGTCAATTTCTACCCCTTGCAGCAGTCATTTTCGCACAACCCTGAAGCCCAAAGAAACTGGGCTGGAGGAAAGACCTCAGGCTGGATCTGGGGATCTTTCATTTCAGAATTAGGTAGAGGAAGAGTGAAGTGGGTCTCCTTGTCTCTCAAATTCCTAAGGAGTCCCCAGGGGCTGGCCATTGTGATAGAATCTGTCTGCCCTGTAAAGTGTGCCAACTTCACCTGTTCAGGGACAGCAAAGGAGCGGGGTACCACAGGGTGGAAGTAGGGAAAAACATTAGAAAAGGGGGAAAGATTGGGACTTAATACTTCAGGGAGGCCAGCTGCCAGGGAGAAACTTGCTTCTAAATGAACACATAAGTTTAGATCGAAATGAGGAGTAGCAGAGTAGCTGGTTGCTAGAGTTATGGTGGGGATGAGAGGCTCTTCCAAACTTTTTAGCCTTGAGGCTGGGGTAGCTTTTGGCTTTTCCCAGGTCTCAGGAGGTGGCCTGAGTCAGCACAGATCTTCCCACTCAGGGGTAGACAGGCTGGCTTCTCCCTCACTTTGAGAACTTTGGCAACTCCTGGGCCACACGGCCTGCCTCTTTGATTACTAATGACTGTCAGTGACTCAGAGCTTCCCGGGACTTCGAGTGCCCATCTGCTGTTCTCCAGGCAAACAAAACACAAGGCAAATGACCCCCAGGGATGACGGCTGCAGGGAGGGTCATGGAGGTTGGGGGCGGGAGGGAATGCTAAAAGGGGATCTTCCAGTACCCTTTTCAGTGCTGCTGGCCTCTCACCAAGCAATCCTCCTTGTGAGTAATCCAGAGACAAAAATGCTAAGTGGGATCAAGAGAGCAGCACTCGGAGAGGGTGTTTCCAGTCTGAGTGTCCCGCGGTGCCCGCCAACCCGCTTCTGGACTGACCTGAGCAAGGTTTTAGCAGTCCCATCTCTGTGGGAGGCACACAACGGATGCAGGGATTTCAGATGCCGGTCGGCGCTGCCAGGCCGGGAGGCCTCCCAGGCAGGAGGCCGCCCAAAGGCGGGGCCGGCGTCTCGCACACCAGGGGGTGGGGGCGGCCACAGTCGGCCTCGAAACCACACGCAGCCCTTACCCCGACCCCACGCGCCCAGCCAACAAATCCCAGGTGCTGGGCTGCACAAGAACACGGGAAGGCGGCCCCAGACCTGGCGGGAACGTCTTTCCCTCAGGGCCAGGCCCCGGCCCCGCGTGGGAAGCTCATCTTGCGAAGCTGAGGGAGCGCGGAACAAGGGCCGGGCTAGCGCGGACCAGAAGGAGCACTGGCCTCTGCCATACTGCTCAGGAGGGCTTCCCGGCCTGGGTTTACAATGCTATTAGGAAAATTAACCGATGAATAAAGCAACATTCAGTGCGCAGAAATTCAATGCCCACCGCTTGGTTCCTCGCTGCCTCTCACTCAAAAGGTCCAAACTTAAGGGGCCTCAAGAGCCCAGCAGCCGTCTCATGCCATTAAGTAGGGCGCAAGCGCAGAAACCCTCTTCCGCTCTCTAGCATGAGCTTTCCCATGGGGGGGGCCACGTCCAGCTTGCCTTCTGATTGGCCCAGCCGGTGGAGTGGGGCGCTCTTCCGCCATCTTTGATCAGGGCGTGAAGGATGCTCCTGACCGCCTTCACAATGAGGGCGGAGGCCCCGCCCCACCAGCTGCTCAGTACGTGCCGCGTCGCCCGTGCGCGCCAAGTGTGAGAGCGCCCGCGGAGCTTGCGGCGGGCCCAGAGAGTGAGAGGGAGGCGGAGGCGGAGGCGGAGGCGGAGGAACAGTAATCACGTGGTTTTAGGGACTGTCTAATAATTCCACGCCAGTATTGCGTGTGTTTGGCTGGGGACCGCTGCGTTCCGCACCGACCTTTCTCCCACGAACCAACAACCACTCGCCCCTTCGGCCCCCGGCCCCACCCTACAAGCCCAACTCCGCTCGAGGTAACTGCTGACGGACTGCCCCACACGGCCCTACAAGACTGAGCCGCCTAAGGCTGAAAGCGGGGGTCTCAAAAGGGAGTCAGGGTTACTCATTTTCCCTACCTTTATTTGATGAGAATAAGAGCTAACTCTTAACGAGGCCTACTGGGTATCATGCAAAAACCCTGTGCTTACTGTTATTCTTCGCGTTGTTGCAAAGATTAAAGGAAATAAGCAGTGCAAAGCGCTTAAGAGCTTGGTGTAAGTAAGTGCTCGTCAATGTTGACTGCTCTCATTTTTTTTTTTTGCAGTCCTGGGAACTGGAGTTCAGGAAAGCTAACAGCCAATAGGTGGCACAGTTGGATTTGAACCCAGGATTGTCTCCAACGCCGCTCAGTTATACAAGCCAGGGAGTCACAGAGACTTAGTGAAGTGCATACATTGCCCACCTGGGTAAACTGAGGTCCAGCAGGGGAAGGTTTTCTCCTGTTATAATCACTATGCCCGATTCATTCATTCATTCATTCATTCATTCAACATCCTGTCTCCGAGAGGCTCAGTCAGAGGACATACTGAAGAAATTAGATCCGAACGCTTTCCAGATATATACGGCGCCTGCTGAGAAGGGACTGCAGAGTCCAGGCACCCACCTTCCAAGCGCTCACCGTTCACGCCTCTGGCCTCATTTACTGAGCTTGCAAATTAAGAGCATGGGATGTGGATCCACACTGTTTGGATTCAAATTCGGACTTCACCACTTAGCAGCTGTGTGTTCTGGGAATGTGACCCACCTTCTCTGTGCTTCCATTTTCTAACTTGTAAAACGGGATGCCAGGCTGGTGGGAGGGGTTTAAAGGTGTTAGCCATGGAGAGTTCTTTAGCGAACATCCAGACTGGCAATAAACTCAATAAATGGTGACTGTTAATAATTAATCCTCGGAACCATCCTAGGGAGTGGACACTATTGTGTCCCCCATTTTATTTATTACATTATTATTATTTGTAGAGACGAAGTCACGCTGTGTTGCCCAGGCTGTTCTCGAACCTTTGTACTCAAACAATCCTCCTGCCTCCGGCCTCCCAAAGTGTTGGGATCACGGACGTGAGCCAACGCGCCCAGCCCGCGTCCCTCCCTCGTTTTTACAAATGAATAAAGAGAGGCTGGAGAAGCAGACTCTTGCCCGAGGTCACCAGCTTTGCAGTGTTGCCTCCCCCGATTTGGTCTCCTGTCACTTTGGCTCCAAAACTTACGCTGAGTCTTGGGAGCGGTTCGCAGCAATCGCTCAGAGAAAACGTGACGAAAACCAGTCTATAAAACTCTAGCCTAGGAGAGGGGCTTCGGTGCGCAGGGGAATTTGCAGACGCTCCCTGCTGGCGGAGATTGCCCGACCTGTCCTTCAGCGCGGGACTTTCGGCGGGTCCCAGCCGGGCCGACCCGAATGCCCGCGGCGAAGACTGCAGTGGAGCCAGTAACGGCTGCAGTGGCCGTGGCGGGAGAATCATGTCAGAGCCGCAGCCGCGGGGCGCCGAGCGCGATCTCTACCGGGACACGTGGGTGCGATACCTGGGTGAGCGCGAGGCGACCCCACCACCACCTGGCTGGGGAAGCAGGGGTCGCCGGACGCCGGCCGGGCCCTGGAGGAGGCGGGAGGATCTTAGTTCTCATTCTGTTTTTGGGCCGGACGGAGACTGATCTCAGACAGGGCTAGGGACTTGTCCAAGGTCACACTACCCTGGTGGGCCGCCCAGGGTGGAAGATCACACGGGGTGAACGGGCAGCCCGCTCTGGCATGCGCTCTGGCTGGCTGTGGAGTCGG